TTGAACCCTCGAGTATCCGATGGGGAGTATAGAGCTGGTCCAGTGTTCCGCGACCGGGACGAAAACCACACTGCTCCTCCTGAATCCGAGATTCCACCATCGGCCGTAGCCTCCTCTCCAGTACCTTGGAGTAGACCTTACTGGAGAGGCTGAGGAGTGTGATCCCACGATAATTGGAACACACCCTCCGGTCCCCCTTCTTGTAGAGAGGGACCACCACCCCGGTCTGCCACTCCATTGGCACGCGATGTTGCAGCCAAGACAGTCCTACAACATCCAGAGACTTTAGATAGTCAGGACGGATCTCATCCACACCCGGAGCCTTGCCACCATGGAGGCTGCCAACCACCTTGGTGACCTCAGCCCCAACATCCTCAGCCTCTGCAACGGAGGACGTGACGGGGGGATTGAGGAGAACCTCGAAGTATTCCTTCCACCGCCCGACAATATCCCCAGTCGAGGTCAGCAGCTCACCCCCCGCACCGTACATGGTGTTGGCAAAGAACTGCTTCCCCCTCCTGAGGCGCCGGATGGTTTGCCAGAATCTCTTCGAGGCCGACCGATAGTCATGCTCCAAAAACAATTTTGATTCTGAATTCTGAATAGCTGTATTGATAACTGTACATGAATACTTTGGTTTGCATAAAGAGCAAATGGTCGATACATAAGATAAGATAAGATTATTTATTGATCTCACACTGGAGAGATTTACTTATAACAGATACAAGTTTGCGTTGTCAGTTGAATCATGATGACAGACCATTACAGGTAAATGATATATAGTGGTCATTGTACAGTCTGATAGCAGAAAGAAGAAGAATCTTTCAGCATGTTCTTTTAAAATTTTAGCAGCAGACCGTTTACGGAAATTTTTGTACATATTTTTTAAGTTCTCTTTGCGGCATTACATAATCATTCACAGCAGTTAAGAAAGTTTTGAGAATTTTGAGAGAAAATGAAGCCCCTGAGTGGAGTAGCCGACAGCGTGGAGACTGGCCTCTAATTAGAGGGTATACAGTTAGTGTAGGTCCAGCCCTCCCCCACTCAATTCTCAAAACATCACCCGAAAGCAGATATCGCTATAGGAACAAGAAGTATCTAATTAAATATATAAGATACTGAGCAACGGTAGGTAGAATGTAAGTTTTGAGAGAAGTTCACCACCTGCATCACAAGTGAGTCCAACTATGTTTTTGTTGCTCATAGGATAAAAATGAAAATCATATGGGTCCTTTTCTGCACTGATTGTATTCTGACCTTTGGACCTTTTAAGATCAGATTCAGATTCAGATTCATTTATTTGCCATTTGCAGTAAAACCACATTGGAAAAACTGTGCAAGACTAACCACAATTACAAGACATTATCCACAATCTCAAGTCAGTACCCACACTGTTGAATGCTTTAAAGCTGGGGTACCTATCTTTTTGTGATTCATATAAATTATATATCATGTAAAAGAAAAATGTTCAGACCACAACATGATTTTTTCATCTATGTCGTGATTTGTTGTGAGAAAGAGCCCTGTGAGTCACAATTTGGGCTGATAGACAATTGGCTGAGTGAGGATGGACCTCTCTTATTCACTTTTCTGTCTGAAAAAGCAGATCTAAAGATATGACAGAGGCCAAACTTATGTGCATGTGAAAACTAGTGATGGAACCAAACTGTTTTGAGAGAGAGGAATACTGGATTTTATTGTTATCTTTTTATTACGTAGTTCCATTTATGGTTTTAAAGTTGGCATTATAAATTGATAATACATAATTGAAAGAAAAATGCATTTGTCTTTTCAATGTATCTTCCAGTTTATAGACTCGGCCTATTTTTGTATTTGGGTTTTGGATTGTCCCAGAGGCTTTTGTTAGTTTGTGCTACTGTCTCTGTAGATGTAACAGATACCAATAATGGATTACCAAATTCCTATAATTGTAACTGTAAAAGAAAAAGAAAAAAAATGTATAAAGGAGTGCTCTTGTTAAAACCCAGTGAATGACAGACATAACAGGACTGATTACTGGGCTAAAAATTGACGTGCGCCTCCTTCCCCACACAACCAACGTTCAGATGTATAAATACACTTTATATGATTAGGCTTTTTATAAGACGAGTAAAATGCCTCGTCAAAGGTTTCGGAGCGGCAGCCAAGGCTCAATCAGGGCGGGTTTTCATCAGCGCTTGTGGAGCATGTGAATTATAGGGCAGGAGATGTGAATGCTGCCCTGTGCTAATGCAGCCTGTAAAAACACTGAGTTGACAACAAGCGAAGCCCTGTCGCTCTGCCCAGGGAGGGGCCACGGGAGCAGGGGGGAGTGCTGAGCCTGGCAGGCCCTGAGATGATTCCTTGCCCCCCTCCTCCTCCTATTCCTCCTCCTCCTCCTCTACAAGATTCAAGAAGTTTGACCCACAGAGGAGTTGAAGAGCGAGAGTGTCATTAAAGCTGGGGCACTTAAGCTATAGAGATTTTATACTTGTTTATTTTTCAAAGTTAGATATATATATATTTTTATTCCATTAAATTCTATACAACTCAATTCAGTGTATTCTTGTATTGGCCTAAACCACAACAGTAGTTATCTGTTGAATTCGCCAACACAGATCGGAGAATCAAACATTTTATTTTGTATAGAGTTATTGTTTATTTATCTTGTTGTGTGCTCCTCATTCCTATTATACTTCTATCATTTTTTCTTTTCCTAGACTTTCGGTTGAAAAAAATGACAAGTGCTATTTATGGTGGCTGAGTAGATAGCACTCTCACTTCTCAGCTAGAAGATTCTGGGTTCGAATCCTGGTTGGAACAGGGCCTTTCTGAGTGGCGTTAGCATGTTCTCCCCATGTCTGCGTAGGTTTGCTCCGAGCACTCCGGTTTCCCCTACCACTAAAAACATGTGTAATAGTTCAGGGTGAATGAATGAATCCGGAGTGATGTGTTCATTAACATGTACTGTCCCAACCAAATAAACAATACATAAATCAATGATAGGGGTGTTCAAATCTGATAGTAAGAGGCCCACTTTAGTTCATCAGACTTCTCCATGAGACATGTGTGGGATATAGGAGAGAAGACATGAGTAGGATCTTTGGTGAGGAGACATGAGTAGGATCTAGGAGAGGAGATATGAGTAGGATCTTGGAGAGGAGACATGAATAGGATCTAGGAGAGGAGACATGAGTAGGATCTAGGAGAGGAGACATGGGTAGGATCTAGGAGAGGAGACATGAGTAGGATCTAGGAGAGGAGACATGAGTAGGATCTAGGAGAGGAGATATGAGTAGGATCTTGGAGAGGAGACATGAATAGGATCTAGGAGAGGAGACATGAGTAGGATCTAGGAGAGGAGACATGGGTAGGATCTAGGAGAGGAGATATGAGTAGGATCTTGGAGAGGAGACATGAGTAGGATCTAGGAGAGGAGACATGAGTAGGATCTAGGAGAGGAGACATGAGTAGGATCTAGGAGAGGAGACATGGGTAGGATCTTGGAGAGGAGACATTGGTAGGATCTAGGAGAGGAGGAATCGTGTTTGGGATGCGGCCTTCCGCTGCAGAGCTCAGCCTCAGATGTAATGCTGCTGCTCACCAACGTATAATTGTGGATACAAAGTGGCTGTTTTGTGCTGACGTCCTCCACTCTTAAAGTGCTTATAACAGGTATTAACTGCATGTGTATTTTTACTGAATGTCTTTAACTTTATCTGTGAATGAAACTGTTGAACATCTGTCATCATTATACACAAGTTTTTCACATGGGAGAGATATTCATTTAGTCTAGGCAAGCACTGGGTAGAAAAAGTACAGTACAAATAGATGTGTACTGTACTCGCGGTGTACTAATTTTGGAAAGTGGAAAAAAATCAAATTTGTTTTCTTTTCTTTTATCAATCCAGGACAACAATTGTCTGTAGTGGAAGAATTTCCCGTATACAATATCCAAACAATCTGAAAAGAGATCCATATTTTTACAAGGCAATTGTAAGGATGGCAAATGTGTGAACAGCTGTGTTAAGGCTTTGTAAAAACATATAAATAATTATTATGTAATTACATTTAAACATGTAAGTTGTACCGGGTTCCCTGCTTCCCCCGTTCGTTTCTCTGAATGATGTTCCTCAGAATGATGTTCCTCAGAAAAGAATTTATTCAAGTCCCAGTATAGAGTTCTCTTGGTGGAGCTTAGAGCCGCCACAAGATAGAAGCCCCCTCACTCACTGTCTCAGCAACAATGTGTACTTTTGTTTATTTGGAGCGGTCCGCTACATGTGTCCATGGTACAGTACACTCAACAAATAAAGCTTAGAGTTTTTCTAGTTTCTGTATTCATTTTGAGGTGTGCAGAGAGTGTACAAATATATAATTGGGCGTTTGTGTTGTCCTACACCGGGGCAGGTTTTTATGTTGGAAAAATAATATCATTGATTTTTTTGTACCCTAACCTTACCAGCTGGAGAGAAAAAAACAGAATAAACAAATATTATCCTATTTACACCCTTGCTGAAACGGCTTTGTACATTTGTATATCTTAAACTACTGCTTTAACGTCAGCATATTTACCGCTACCTTGCACCAAAGTGAAGGACACAAAGACGAGGGCATGGGCTCATGCAACACTGCTCAGATCAAACACAAACAGCTGAGGGGAATAGAATAGTTTACAGAGTGATTTCTGTTCCGCAGCCCCTTCTCCACAATAACAGTGTGTCATCACGTCTGCTCCTCGTGCCCACTCATCCATTCAAATTGTATTTGTTCATAATGAGGCAGAAATAAAGTCAGGACTTCATCTGTGTCTGAGTTGCATTCCATTTGAAAACAATTTGAAGACGTTTGAAATACAGTGTGTGACTTCCAAGACGAGAGATGTCTGACTTATTTACTATTTTCGGATACTCAGAGAATGCATTTATAAGAACACTATAAATGAATTATTCACTAAAGCAGTTATATTTATTACTCTAATCTGCTTTTGTGTGAAATGTGATTATCCGATCGTTGCGAGCATGTGTCTGTCTCAAAGCAAGATCCAGTCGTACAAGGCCAAGAAGCAGGTGATCGAAAGGGTGGTAAAAACTGCTTTCGGATCTCCCCTCCCAGGGATCTCCTCACCTCCCGCTGCCTGCGCCACTGTCACAACATCATCAGAGAACACTCCCATCCAGCACACCGACCGTTCCAACTGCTGAAGATGAAAATGAAGGTGCTGAAACCACATACATTGTCAAATCTACCAAAGGACCTCAAAGTGCTTCACACCAAGGGACCTACACACCTAAGGACACACAGCAGCTATAACCAATGGGAACTTCTTTCACACCTGTGGGACTGACCATTCAACCAATGATTAACCAATATGTCGGGGGCAGGATTTGAACCAGCAACCTCCAGTTCAGACGACACACATTTTACCAACTGAACTATGGCCGCTCTCAATCTTAAGCATCTGCAGTGATGAGGATCCAGGACACTTGATAATGAATGACATTTATGGATTTTATCAACATTATCAACTCCTTGTACACTTTTTATCATGCATTTCTTAGATTCTCTGACCTGTGTTGGCAAATTCCACGTTTTTGTAAAGTCCTCCGAGATACCTACTGTTGTGATTTAGGGCTATACACAAATGTATTGAACTGAATTTAACAGATTCATTTTTGTAAAGCCCTAAATCACAACAGCAGTCTTCTCTGAGGACTGTTTTGCCCGAGGGAGAAGCAGGAGCTAAAAGGTCCCTGCTCGGACGGACCGGCACCTAACTGAACAGAACCAAGGTCGAGTCGAGTCGAGAAGAGCCATAAACGAGCAATAGTAAAGGAGCTTCAAGGGTGCTGTGAATAAAATTTGTCAGAAGGGACATTTAAGAGCCCGACTAAAGAGAGCGCATCGTCGAGGGAGACATCAGCCGCGGGACGGGAAGCTGTGGCTCTGAGGGTCATCTCCAGATTGATCCCGGCTCAATCCTGCAGCTCCTCTCCCTGTTTGAAGTCACATCTGGAGCTGGTTTCTTGCACTGAGGAAGTCCAGCGCTCCAAAGCCTGCTTCTCTGCCCCCTGGGGTTAACTGTACTGATGCCTGAGACGTGAGTATAAGTGTAAGGAAGGAGGAGGGATTTCATTAAGGATTCACCGTGACGACACATGTGAGCTTTAATCTGACAGAGAAGGCAAAGCAGTGGGTTGGAGCGAGTCGACAAGCGCGGAAAAGAGATGGAGATAAATGAATATGTAGTACTTAGATGCTGACTAATAGTTGCAATGTCAGACTATCCTGGTGGGGGGTCAATCTAGGTCAGCGGTGTATCACTCAGGGGCTGTTTACATAAGGACGCTGCAACAGTAAAACGTTAGAGTTGGGTATCTAATTGGCCTCCCTTCCCCGCCTGATGTCCCAATGCACGTGACTTCCCCGCACGTACATTGCGACATTCGCAGTAGCCAAGAAAAAAAACCAAACCACGCAAAGCTGTAGTTTCACTTTCCATTTTTGCTGCTACTTTTAAATCCAGAATTTTGTTTGACATGTCTGATCTACACTACATTTATTCCATAGTATAGCATTATCCTTTACTATTTGAGAAGAACACGTGACTTCTATTCAATTCTTGTTTAGCCCTAAATCACAACAGTAGTTATCCCAGAGGACTTAACAGAACCGTTGATATCACCAATACAGAGCAGAGAATCCACAGTGAAGACAAACAATATAGACCACATATGTATTAGTCCAGCCATTCCCAAACTCAGTAACACCGAGGCCCCCTTAAAAATCTGACGGGTTTGCGTGGCCCCCCAAAAATAATAACCAAGAAGACAACATTAAGAATAGGCTCTTCTGGTTATTTTATTTTGGGGAAATAGCCTCTGCTACAAACATTGTAATACAAAAATGATTACAGTGGATTATTCAAGTCAAATAATGAACACAAATATTTTAATATTACAAACAAAACATTATAAATTTAACATTAAATAATTATTTTATCTTTTTATTTTTTTTATGACCTCCCGCGGCCCCCCTGCAGTACCCTCGCGGCCCACCAGGGGCCGCGGACCCCACTTTTGGGAGACACTGTATTAGTCCATAGGGAGAGACCAATGTCCGCAAATGTTCATAAATGTCCATCTTCAGTCTGTAACTTACGGCAGACATCAGGTTTTACAAGTTGAATGAGAAAAGTTAAGCAGTAGCCCTACACCTTGAAAGTCCTTGCACATATTGAACATCTTTGACAAAAATTTTAACGAAATAAAGAAACGTTTCAAAATAAATTCTAAAAGTGGGAGAGCTTTCATCTCCACATTTGACTTGAATACTTGCCCTTTAGCAGGACACCTCCTTTTTGTTAGAACAGAACACAAATCTATCTGCCGTTTCATATTTCCATTTATTTGGAGTGATAATGAAGACATTCCACCATACTGGTCTCATAAGTCTGCTTGACATAATATTGTTCAACTTACTTACACCACTGTAGAAAACAAAAACAAATGCATTTTGGATTGGTTTTGGTGGAAATATCCAACTTGTGTCAACACATCCACATACACACAATTCCACAAACCGCATTTTGACATATATGTAAAATATAATTGTGTTTTTGCATGCATTTCTTTACCATGTGACATTTCTGATACAAAGCAGCAGTCGACCAATTTACTCCTACTCAATGTGTAATCTAAAAGGCCGTGGAAAACCATGTCCGGTAGCTCTTCTGGTCATAAAAATGTCATTAAAATCCGATGGAGCCTTGTGCGTAAAGGCAGTCTGCTGAGAGCACAGTCCTATATTCTAAGTCTCAAGTGTCTCTGGTCTCGCCCTGACCTCCACATGGTTCTGATCACTCTGGTGCAGTTGTGGACAGCTGTTTAAACGCTCGGCCTCCGCTTAAATAACGACCTGTGTTTATCTTCAGCTTTCTCCTTTCACTAATTAACTAAAGCCCCAAACTCCAAACGGGCCCGTCCCGTGATCCTGAGACCTCTCAACAGCTTCTGCCGTCAGCCCGTCCATTAAACAGGCTTTCAAATGAGTCCTGAGCTCAAAGCGTCTCAAGGCAATATGCACTTGACCGTGGAAGTCTTTTGATTTTGAATTTTAGTTGATAATAACACCCAATTTTCAATGCATCCTTGTCCCAAAAGGCTTTAAGAAATCAGATTATTAGTATTAACATTATAGGTCAGAATGTGGAGAAGCCCCTGCTGTGAGAATAAGTGTAAGTGTTTAAGTACTACTTTAGAATGCTTAACACTAAGACTCACAGACATCAGAAACTACTAGATTTTCCAGACCAGTCGTTTTGACAACTAAGCCTATCCAAATTATATATTGCATTTAATTTTAGATTTATGTCAAAATGTGGTTTATAGCATTGTGTGTATGTGGAGGTGTTGGTTATTTCCGCCAAAAGTTTTTTGTTGTTGTTCAGTTATGGTGTAAAACACAATTTTCACCTGAAGTAAGGTGAATTAAGACAGCAGAAAGGTGGAAAATCCTGAGCATCGCTCTAAATTAATAGAAATTTGAAACAGTAATTCAAAACGTTTTTGATTGTTTCATGCCAAGCCACAAAAAATGTAGCCATTTTTTGTAGCTAACAGAACTGCTCTGGGAGTTAAAAGGTAGAACTGCTGACATTTCAAAAATATAAGATTACTTCATAAAAGTAGGCACTACATATAGATAAAGCAAAAGTCCAAACATTAAGTAAAAAAATGTACATAAGTGGCGTACTTACACTTCTAAAACAAAAACTGTCAAATGACTGCTCTTGGAGAGTTAGTGTTCATTGATACAGTCGTCACAGAAGAGTGTTGAGCTCATGTTGTAAAATTTGAAAAAGAGAAAGTCCAAATGTTTTCCCAGATCCTTATTTTCATAGTGCAGTTTCACAAATATATTATTTTTATGTCTAAATGTCCTTCTTTACGAATATATAAAAAAGAATGCCTGGATCCGGGCAGCAGCTATGTGAGTCACTATACTTTGGGCTCAGAGCTGATTGGCTGCTGCAGGTGTAATCCACCCTGCTTCACCTGTGTGTGAAATATATGCTTTGTGGCTGTGCACGTGACCAAACATCATACATATGAATACTTTGGGTTCGCCAAAAGTGAGTTGAAATAATGAGATAATTACAATAACATGAAAATCAAGTACCTCAGCTTTAATTCCACACAGCCGCAAATTGGCTGTACATATAGTTGCACACAGTGAAAAGGCCAGTTTTGATCAGTTATGATACATTTTAGTTGCCTTATAGGTCATTCAGGAGGCAGAGACTGGAAAGCCAAGTCCTCACACACTGTCTGCCATGTACTGTTTTATAATTTATCATTTGGAGGATGACTGAAAGACATAAAAAATGGCCAGAGCATGAATTTTTGAGCCAACTCCTGAGTCAAAACATCAAAGAATGTTGTAAAGGTGAAGCATAGTTTAGATCTATATTCATGGAGAAGATTAGATCATTTAGATTGACCCCTTAATGGGGAAAGTAAGTACGTATAATTACAAGTAAAAGTCATATATTTCTGTACATTTCTGTAACTAAAATGTACTGGTGATACAATGCCATACAACTTTTTATATCAGTTATTATTTATTTATATATTTCTGTTATTTGAGAGCAGTAACATTCCCATAAAAGGCACACAATTGTCCGCTCCGTGACAGAAATGATGCTGGTTGACAGGGTTAATCTGTGACCGTCCTGATGCCATTGCCCGTCATGTCCTATAAATCCAATAAAATGTGATATTCTTGCCCCCAGCCCTAAAATGTGTTTTGGTTTCTCTGTTTCGTTCATCATCATCAGTGTTTTGTCGTATGTATTCTGGTAACAATCATCAGCGAGGCCGTATTAGCCTTGGCAAGCGCAGCCGTAACGTAATGCGTAATGGCTTGAGTGGGATTGCCAAAATTTGGAATATTGCTCATAACTTGATATTAAACTCCTTGAAATTACTTTAAGATTTCTTCCTTTTCTTGTTCTTTGTTTTTCCATACAGCCAACACATCACTCATATGGGGGGATCGTGTTCATTTGATACAGTGTGGGTAAAAGCAAGATCAGTGCTTTTTTCAGTCATTGTTGAGTAATGGATAATTCACCATCATTAATGTAATGGAGGCCAAACAAAAGATAGAAAAAAACAAAAAAAACACTAACTTCTTTAGTGTTAGATACGTCTAAAGTGAATGATAGCAGAAGAAAGACATATCAAAACTGGTTCAATCTTTTTTTTTTTTTGACCGAAATAATTGATATTACTTTTTTTTGGGTATATTCAAACAAGCTAACTATATCTTAAGTCTATAACACTGATTGCAAAAGTGGGGGGTCGCAGGACTTTAGATGCAGTTCTTGAGATGATATTGAGAATATTTTGTCAATCAAAAATATTTCTTGTATCAGAAAATCATTTTTTTTTTAATCTACATACATTGTTTGTTTGTTTATTTATTAATTTCAGGCATTTCACATTGGGCATAAGTCACCTCTTGTCCATCATAGTTTCCAAAAAACAAAAATGAATAAAGTATCGCTAACATGAATAAGAGGGAAAAAAATAAATTAAAAACTTTATTATCACTTATTTATTATTTAAGAGAAATTAGATAAAATAGCACACTAAATGACATGTGACGCTTCCAAACGTCACTTTTAATATCCCTGTTATTGTCATGGGGTGGATTTTTAGTTATTTTAGTTATCGCGGTGTTTTATGTTGCATCTGTGTCTCTCTGTGGTTTGTACCTGTGCTCCTCATCTTTGTCTCTTCCTGGTTCCGCTTGGATTTTGAGTTTGTCATTTCATCTTAGACTTTTATTTGCCATAATTAAATCATTTTTTTTTTTTTGCTTTCGTGCCTTTCGGGTTCTTCCTTTTGGATCCCGGGCTCAAAAGGTTTGGAAACCCTTGCTCGACAACACAGAAAAAAAAACATGGCCTGGTTTATAAGCGTGAAAATGTGTAAATTAGAACCACATCATGTACCAATCCAGCTCTATTTTTAACCGTGTGTGCGCTCATAAGCCATACAGTGAAAAGCCCATAT